GAGCACTAAGGGGAGCTTGAGATATTTGGCTAGAATAAGCCCTGGGGCTAAAGCTGGATCAGTTAGAACCAGATCATACTGGGAATCTCTTAATCCTTTGATCATATTTTGATCAACAAAAATATTTTTCAAAGCATCATACCAAAGTGAATGGCCACGAGAAAGCATAGACATTAAACCCTTGGTGAGTTTGAAGAAAGCCAATGGTCCTCCCTCTCTTTGCACCTACAAAACAGTGCATGACAAAAAGTTGTCAAGAACTTCTCTTATCTCATGAATCAGTAGGGATTAAAATATATAGATTATATACCTGTATCTGCTCCTGTAGGAACACATCTAAATACTGCTCATAATCTAGAGCCATTTCAATTGTAATGGATGTGTATAGATCAGACTTTTCAGGGATGTACCAGCTCCTGGAGGTCCTGATCACAGTGAGATTGTGTCCCCTAGCATGAAGTTCTTCTACCAAGAGTTTCATATTGAGCCAGTGGCTGCCATCTACAGGAACCACAAGAATACTTCCTCCATTGCATTGTGGTGTATATGAAATCAGGAATACACTGAGGAAAACTAGCATCCCACAGGCATGATGGGATGTCATGGTTCCTATAATATCAGAGAGAAATAATGACCCCAGTGACCTCAAATGATATCAAGTAATCACAATGTAAAGAATCAGTTTATGCTCTTTAACCAAACATGTAAAACTGCACATTATATACTTGCAAGCACTGGAAGATTTCCATTTGCCTGTTATCCAAATAGTCACCAAACTTAAAGGATAGTGTTTTAGGAAATTCCTTACCTGTGGTTGTAAGAGACAACAGCTGTCTAGCTTGCCCATAGACTGTTCTTTGAAACCATTCTGGCTTATCCAATTCTTGTGTGAGCAATACACCTTTTACTCATAAAGCAGTTACATCCATCACATATAACATAATGGTGGCATGAATATTCATTTATTCTTTTTCATATTTTTATTACTTAATATGCCATTTTTCAACTTTTTGCTTCATAATTGAATTAATTTCATGTTTTAGTTTGTAATCACTTACCTTATTCCAAATAGACTCCTTTTGGGGGGATTTGGGGTTCTTTCCTACCCAGGTAGTCTTTCAGTTCAACATAATACAAGTACCATTCTTTATAACCCTTAATTTTGGTTCAGGAGTAAACAGGCAGTTTCAGTGTGTGTGTGTGTGTGTGTGTGTGTAACTGAGTGGAAGAGAGGAGCTTTACATCCACTGACATGCACATTAATGAGTAAAAAATACATTTAGTCAGTTTCTCAATTTCAGCACAGCTGTTATATTTAACTCTTCATGTTCAAGGTACTAGCTTGTCATTGTTTAGGAAAATTTGGACCCAAAATAGGTTTGAATAAACACAAACAAACCGTTATTCTGATCAGGCAGCAAATCCAGGTAGCTGACGCCAACAAAGACCTAAGGAAAACTGAGGGCTTAAATACATATCAGGTAATCGGGGAATAAGACACAGCCGGGGAAATAAAGGTGCAGGTGAACTGGATCAATTAACGAGCAAGAGGGGAAGCAAAACTGAACACAAAACACGAGACGAAGGACTGTCAAAATAAAACAAGAAGTAATGTGCACACTGAGACTCAGACAAAGACACATTATCTTGACACTAGGACAGGTGATAAACAGATGTGGAGACACATGACAGACTGGGGAGACAAAACACATTTTAGAGAGACAACAGGGGAAAAAGCAAACAAGAAGCACAACCTAGAAACATGAGCAAGTAAAACATGTCATAATTCCAAAGGAAGAAAAAGTCCAAACAAACTCAAAAACCACGGTCAAATGACAGAATCTAATTAACCATTTCATAATTGTCTTTTATGCCAAAATAAATGGACATTTATATAAAAGAAGAAAGTTTTTTTGAATTGGAAGTTTCCAGAAATGTCTAATCGCTTTCAGAATTACAGTTTGAACAAAGCTCCAATCAGCACTTGTATAAATGGGTGAGTGCTCTATAAACCACTTTGAGTACTGGGGTGGAGTACTACACTACACAAGAACCAGTCCATTTACAATAACCATGGTGATACATGCATGCGGCCCAGGACACGTTAGATTACATATCAATGATCCCCATTAAATTTTTCACCTGGTCCAACTCACCACTACCTAGCCATGAGCCCTGGATGGGCTGGACATGCTCAGATGTATAATGAAGCTCTCCTGGGAGATCTTTTTGAAAACTTTGAAAGAATTCTGAGGAAACTGAGTCCAATTGGAACATGTTCAACATGTTCAACACATGCACTGCTGACACACGTATACAGAGCCTCAGCTGCAAGGTGTTTGGGAGCTGTTATACAGGTAATGCCCAACAATTGAACTACCTCTGGCACTTTAATTCAGTAATAGTGCATAATATACTGTTTCAACATGTAGTGGACTTAAAATGTAGTGGAGTAGTAAAAAAAATAGCAATGGGATGTACTGTGATGTGGCTTGAGAGCATGTATGGCAACATTTTGAGCTTTTCTCTTTCAATAAAGTATTACACATAAAAGCATATGAATAATGAAATATATTAATATTAAAATAGTAACACATTCCACCCACAAGTTGTTAGAATGCTGAATTGCTGATTAGGATATGTACAGAACTGCACCTAGGACTGTCTGGCAGTGTTTTAGTTTTAATTATTTATTATTACTGTCACGTGCACTTTAACCACTGGTTGATGTATATGGAGACTGCAGTGAGAGACTATTGTACAGCTTTGTGTCTTGGGATGTGTGTGTGTTATATGTAGGGGAAAGCGTTTTTGTATGATGTTTTTTTGTGTGTGTGTTGGAGAAACGCCCTTTCATTTTGCCTGCACTATGGTTGCATGCAGAGCAAACTGGCAGTAAAGCTTCATTTGATTTAATATAGTATAGCAATTCAAGATAAATAAAAGGGCTTCATTGCATATTTTAATATTCTTGTAAGTATGTAGTGGTTTTGTGCTCACAAGAAATAATGATATTGTACACACCACAGATAGGAAGTCTATAGGAAACCATTTATATGCGTTTCATATATACGACCAGGGTTGTACAAATAGGAAATGTAAGATTTCTTCAGGTTGTAGTTACATAACATATCATTATACAGTGGGTTTTGTCAATTAAATGTGATGGTTAGGCGTACATAAACCCTCCAATAGCAACAACGTTTTTGCCAATACTGTAAAAATTATGATTTGATTTTTAACATGTGATGCACCAAGCAAAAAGCCAGAAAAACAATCCCAGCTGTGCTTTAAAGAAACAAAGCAATAACAGAATCAACAAACA